TGTGTGTGTGTGTGTGTGTGTGTGTGTACGTGTGTGTGTGTGTGTGTTGTCCGTGTGTGTGTGTGTGTGTGTGTGTGTGTGTGTGTGTGTGTGTGTGTATGTGTGTGTGTGTGTGTGTGTGTGTGTATGTACGTGTGTGTGTGTGTGTATGTGTGTGTGTGTGTATGTGTGTTGTCCGTGTGTGTGTGTGTGTGTGTGTGTGTGTGTGTGTGTGTGTATGTACGTGCGTGTGTGTGTGTGTGTGTGTGTGTGTGTGTGTGTGTGTGTGTGTGTGTGCGTGTGTGTGTGTGTGTGTGTGTGTGTGTGTGTGTGTACGTGCATGTGTGTGTGTGCGTGTGTGTGTGTGTGTGTGTGTGTGTGTGTACCTTATCATGGTGTGCTGTCAGTGTGTGACCTCTGCAAGCAGCAGGAGATTCTCCTCTCAGCTCACATTTCTGCCACTCCAGCTGCTCTGGAATCAGAATCAGGATGAAACTGAAATCATCAGAAGTTCAAACCCTAAAATGAACTTTTCCACATTCATGAGGTCTGCTGGCGTTCGGTGAGTCGAGGAAGCGTTTCAGCTACGCACAGATAAATGTGAGCGGGGGGGGGGGGGGGGGGGGTGTTAATCTGTGACTGCAGGTGTAAATCTTCTGATTACTCACCTAGAGTTTAACTCATACCTGTTCAGACTCGAGACGTATTTAGCAACACACACACACACACACACACACACACACACACACACACACACACACAACACATTGACCCACTTACCAGCTCAGTGACCCAGTGGTAGCGTGTCCGCCCAGGGACTTGGAGATCGAGGTTCCATTCCCAGTCGGGTCATACCAAAAACTTAAAAAACGGGACCCAACGCCTCCCTACTTGACACTCAGCTGTAGGGGTTGGGTTGGGTTGGGGGAGGGGCTAAACCACCAAATGGCTCCCGAGCACAGCCACAGCTGCAGCTCACTGCTCCTCTCCATGGGGATGGGTGAAAATGTGGAGATGAATTTCACCAGTGTGTGACGATGACTACGGGACTTTAACATTACAAATGAACAATAAACAGGCAAAACCATTATGGTCTGCCTTTTGGCTCATAAACACCACGTCTGAAACCATTGTTTTAAGTGGTCTCCAGTAGGAATGAATGCCTTCTAATCATACTCTGGGGAAAAAAAGCTCCAGTGCGACAGTTTGAGGAACTAGCAGTGAGCCAGCTGAGCTTCAGACGGCAGGATCTGGACTCCTATTTCCTGATATTCAGACATCTCTCCTCTGATTGGCTACCAGCAACACGACTACCGCTGACTCTGTTCGCTCGGCAACGTTGATGTTTCACCTCCACAAACAACACAAGCCTGGAGGAGTTCTGCTGTGCGGCGATGTTGCTAATGCTAACGGCTTCTACTAGTAGAGACGTTCTCTCCTGGACGCTAAACCAACAACGGCTTTCACCGTCGTGAGTCAAGATGGGTGTCCTGAGTCCATGAATGTTAAAGATATCGGCTAGAGACAAAGTTCCTCTGAGCAGCACGTGTAAAGAAGAATTAAAACCTCAGATGAAAAAGGTTTTTTGGGTTTTCACGGCTGGAATTTTAAGAAAATCTGATGTTTGTGACCGGCGCGGGAAAAACAGAAACTAACTTCCGGTCTAAGCCCTGGGCAGCTGGAGACGTTCCACATGGAGCTCTGCTGAAACTGCTGTAGTAAACAACCCCGACGCCGGCGTTTCTGCGTTAGCGTTACAGCAGAACAACGTGTCATCAGTCAGATGTAGCTTCTGACGCCTCTGCTAGTCGGTCACATTTGTGTTTTCACTGGGATACGGCGACGAGAACGGATATTGGACTACCGGAGAAGTTCAGCCGAGCTCCGACCCCGCTAGCTGGATGTCCCCACCGGAGGTGCAGACACGCGTTAGACCGTTTCACTCAGAAAACCCGCGACCCGATTTGGACACCGAGGAGGATTCTGTTCATCTTCAGAACCAACATCTGTACGGTTTGTTTACTTTGTTAAATATTTCATTTTTGTACTCAGATCTCATCCAGGTTCTGGTGCCTCGTGGTTTACCTGTGTTCAGAACAAACAGGTCCTTACAGAACTCTCCTTCTGCTCCAAAACCTCCAAACATGTAGACCCGATCACCCGCCGGAGCGAAGCTCTGACCCCATCTACACAAGGATCACACAGGAAATGAGTCGGGACTCAAACCGGCTGGGTGTCTCCGAGGATCGGATCTTTAGGTTCGAGGCTCGATCGAGTCTCACAGGGCAGGAGGGGGAGATCCGCTGGTTCTGACCGGAGTCCAGTTCAGAGACACTGAAATCAGAGCAGAGACCGTTCAGAATCTAGATCTGAATCTGCGTCCTGGGTCACGTATCGCATTACCGGTGTTGAAAACCAGGAGGTTGTCGGTTGGATTCCCCCTCAGAACTCCTCCGTACACGTAGATGTTGTCTCCAGCAGCAGCGGCGCTGTGTCCGAGGGCTCGGAGGGCCACGCCACCGCTTTCCAAACACTCCCAGGTCAGGGTCACTGGCAAGACACAGAACTTCATCACAGTTCTGCTGGGACTCCGGGACGGACCAGGTCTCGGGTCCTCACCGATGTCAAAGCTGTAAACTCCTGGGAGACATTCCGGAGTGTCGGGACTAGAAGATCCTCCAAACAGATACAACTTCCCTTTAACCACACTGAGCAGGAGAAAGGTGGGTTTTCAGAGCCCGGACCGACATCCCAACTTGCTTCAGCCCGTCTGGTACCAAGACCAGGAGCAGACAGTCCAAAGGAAAAATCCTTCAGGAAGTCTGGAGAACTGCTGATCCAGAACCACAGGGAAGTCTGGGTGCTGGGTTGTGGATCAGGAGTTCTGGACCATCAGGTGAAGTTGTGGTTTACCAGAGTGTGTGTCCTGCTCTGGCCAATGGAACGTCTCCACTCTGAGGTATCTCCTCCCAGGTGATGTCATCAGGAGTCACTGAAACCAGGAATCACAGAGGTCTGTACTTCCTGTCAGAGGAACTCGCTTCCAAATGTTATTTATTTGTGTTTTTGTTGCTATAATTTTTAAAACATTCATTTTAAAATATTTATCCTTTTTTTGTCTGTTTGTTTCCCCAAACGTGTTTATTTTTTATTTGTTGTTGTTTCTGGTTTCTGCCTCAGAGTTTCCCGGGAGGAGTTTTGGTTGCACCTGCATGGTGGAGCAGTTGGAAGCTCTGGGGCCTCACAGCAAGAAGGTCCTAACCCCACTTGTGTGAACTTTCTGCATGGAGTTAGTGTGTTCTCCCCATGCATGCACAGGGTTTCTCCAGATACTCCACATTTTCCCCACAGACCAAACTAGGGATGCACAGATATGACATTTTGGGCCGATTATATATATATATATATATATATATATATATATATATATATATATATATATATATATATATACATACACATACATATGAAACAGATACACAAACAGAAACAAGATGGAAAAAACATTGGTTGACTTCAGTTGACTTTAGCATGTATGTTTACTTGTTAGCATGTATGTTTAGAATGTATGTTTACCTGTTAGCATGTATGTTGAGCATGTATGTTTACCTGTTAGCATGTATGTTGAGCATGTATGTTTACCTGTTAGCGTGTATGTTGAGCATGTATGTTTACCTGTTAGCATGTATGTTGAGCATGTATGTTTACCTGTTAGCGTGTATGTTGAGCATGTATGTTTACCTGTTAGCGTGTATGTTTAGCATGAATGTTTACCTGTTAGAGTGTATGTTGAGCATGTATGTTTACCTGTTAGCATGTATGTTGAGCATGTATGTTTACCTGTTAGCATGTATGTTGAGCATGTATGTTTACCTGTTAGCGTGTATGTTTAGCATGTATGTTTACCTGTTAGTATGTATGTTTAGAATGTATGTTTACCTGTTAGCATGTATGTTGAGCATGTATGTTTACCTGTTAGCATGTATGTTGAGCATGTATGTTTACCTGTTAGCGTGTATGTTTAGCATGTATGTTTACCTGTTAACGTGTATGCTGAGCATGTATGTTTACCTGTTAGCATGTATGTTGAGCATGTATGTTTACCTGTTAGCATGTATGTTTATCTGTTAGCGTGTATGTTTAGCATGTATGTTTACCTGTTAGTATGTATGTTTAGAATGTATGTTTACCTGTTAGCATGTATGTTGAGCATGTATGTTTACCTGTTAGCGTGTATGTTGAGCATGTATGTTTACCTGTTAGCATGTATGTTGAGCATGTATGTTTACCTGTTAGCATGTATGTTGAGCATGTATGTTTACCTGTTAGCGTGTATGTTTAGCATGTATGTTTACCTGTTAGCGTGTATGTTTAGCATGTATGTTTACCTGTTAGCGTGTATGTTGAGCATGTATGTTTACCTGTTAGCATGTATGTTGAGCATTTATGTTTACCTATTAGCATGTATGTTGAGCATGTATGTTTACCTGTTAGCGTGTATGTTTAGCATGTATGTTTACCTGTTAGCGTGTATGTTGAGCATGTATGTTTACCTGTTAGCATGTATGTTGAGCATGTATGTTTACCTGTTAGCATGTATGTTGAGCATGTATGTTTACCTGTTAGCGTGTATGTTTAGCATGTATGTTTACCTGTTAGTATGTATGTTTAGAATGTATGTTTACCTGTTAGCATGTATGTTGAGCATGTATGTTTACCTGTTAGCATGTATGTTGAGCATGTATGTTTACCTGTTAGCGTGTATGTTTAGCATGTATCTTTACCTGTTAGCATGTAGAAGTCACTGAGGTAAACAGGACTGTGCTGAATGAGAATAAAATAATATTGACAACAAAATAAAAACGGTGGATAGATTAAGATGAAAGCATTTATCACGTATATGATGTCGCGTTTGTAGATGTTGGATGAAATCAGGTGAACTCCATCACCTCTGGATCGATGCTGCAGGCTCCTCCAAACAGGAAAGCTACGTTTCCAGCCACGGCTAAAGCGTGTCCATTTCTGGAAAACCCAAATATCCAGATCAGAACGTGTCACAAAAACTACAGATGAACTCGTGTTGAACACCAAACAAACAAACCAATGAATGATTCATCCAGACATTTGTGTGACCGTTCATCAGCCGTATGAGTTTGTTTTAGATTCAGGTTCTCCTCTGGTTGGAGGACTTGTTAAGACTCACCGAGGACTTGGAGATTGTCCTCTCACGTCTTTGTCCAACCAGTGACCGCTAGCTAGAGCCATCGTCTTTGCTCCTGTCTGACCACACAAACAGACATTCATCCACCGGTTCTCTACGTCTAAACTAGGGTCAGGGGTGAGAGGGAGAAGGCCAGGCGGCTTCTGAACAAGAATCACCTCAGCTGACTCCTTTTGATGAGGAGTCCCTCCTGGATGGTGGAGCTTCTCACCTGTTTCCAGTTATCTCAGTAACTCGTTGAAATGCAGCCTATGACAATCAAAAGAAACAAACGTTTGTATTCATTTAATCACAACTAAACCAGAACTCATCTGACCCATGCAAAGCTCTTCTCCTCTAGGTGGCGCTACAGCGGACAACAACATGTATTTAGCAGGAAAACCACAACATCTCCTCCAGAGGAGGACGCGTCCACAAACGTCCTCAGCAGGGTGAACTTACCTGCTGATGTTCAAACGTGTCTGAGAACAAACCGAGTCCAAACACGAGTGTCTTCAGCTGTCCTCCACGTCTCACCTTACAGGTAAGCCTACACGGGCTCTTCCTGCAGAGTCACTGTTGCCTAGCAACCACACCAGGTAGTGTTGAACGGGATGGATGCTCGATGAAACTGAACAAACACAAATAAGTTTCATTGAAAACTCAAATCCTTGAAACACCTGAGAGTTTCTGTGTAAATAAATAAACACACGTCAGTTTTTAAAGAGTTAAACACACCCACATCACCCCGCTTCTCCTCCAGCTTCACTGGCTGCCAGTCAACTTCAGGGTTCATTTCTAGATCCTGGTTCTGGTCTATAGGACCTTACATGGACAAGCACTATCTTACATTGGTGATCTTCTTATTCCCTACACCCCCAGCAGGTCCCTGAGGTCCAGTGATCAAAGCAGCACCAGGCTAAAGGTCAAAGGTGACAGATCATTTGCTGCTGTGGCCCCCAGACTCTGGACCTCTCTCCCCCTGAGCCTGAGATCAGTGGACTCAGTGGTCTCCTTTAAAAAGCAGCTGAAGACTCACTTGTTCAAGCTGGCTTTTGTATGACCTTCTTCACCTCTCTCTCTTTATTCTGCTCTCCCCACCTATTCCACCTTCCTCAGGATCCACTGATTTCCCTCTTTCCTGTTCACTCTCTCTCTTTCTTAAGATTTTTTCTTTTACATCGCAATTGCTTATTCTTGCTCATTTTAAATATATTTTAAAACATTTTCTAAATGCTTTTTTATATTTTAACATTTTTCATATTTTTTTGTTTTTGTTTTTGTGAAGCGCCTCGTGATTTTTATCTTGAGAGGCGCTATAGAAATGATATTTTCTTCTTCTTCTTCTTCTTCTTCTTCTTCTTCTTCTTCTTCTAAAATGAACTCTTTAACTATTCCGGGAACAAGGAATCTATTTCATGTATTTCATGTTTACTGATATAGATACGTTTATTTAAATCAGTCACATTTTGTTTTATTTAATTACTTTTAAAATATAATTCAAGTTCATCTAATTTAGTTTGTTTCTTTTATTTGATTTATCATTTTTTCTTACTTTGTTTTTTTAATTATTAGAGATTATTTTGGTGAACGTAATTAAAAAATGTTCGCTTCGTTTGGTTTTGATATGTTTTTTGTTTTATTATTTTTTTATTTTATTAAATTTTAAATGTAATTTAACTGACTTTACTTAAGTTTTATTTTCTTATTTGTTTAATCAAACATGAGTTTTTCATTTGATTTTATTTAAATTATTTTGATTTTGTGTTCTTTTATTTGAACTTAATTGCTTTTTTTAAATTCATGTCTACGTAGGTGAAGAGTGGACATGGGGCCATGTTTCGTATCTAACTTTAACTTCGTGCTGATTGACCTAAAAGTATTTGTTTGATATTTTACTTAATTTGTACAAACATGATGACAGCGTTGCAGTGCTGCAGGAATCATGGTTTACCGCTAGATGGCAGCATTGCAGGCGGATGATGGGTGTAGCAACATAAAACCACCAGCAGGGGGCGACGTGTCCGTTCTTTTAACCAGAGACATAAATTCTGCAACAGCTGAAATGGTTTATTTCAGTTTCTGTCTCTCAGATAAAAACTATTAGAAATTTGAAACTTTTTTTCTGATGTTCCTTATTTTTTAACAGTAGCAATCACTACATATCATGATGGATCAATGATGATATAAAATTACTGAACATATTTTTGCTCCTGGACATGGTGCTGAGGGGAAATATCTTTTTTTTCATGCATTCCTTCTTCCCATCCTAATTTCACATAATAATTTAATTTAAGTGTCATTTTAATCTCTTTTATTTT